CATATGTCCTAAATAGAGTTCCCAAGTCAAAAAGTAAAATCTCTCCTTATGAGATATTAAAGAAAAGACAATCAAACTTGTCTTATTTGAGAACTTTGGGCTGTCTGGCTTATGTTAGAATTCCGGATCTGAAACAAGTTAAACTCGCTAGTAGAGCATGTGAATGTGTATTCATTGGGTATGCAACAAACAATAAGGCGTATAGGTTTTATTACCTAAAAGAAAAAGTGATCATAAAATAAAATGATGATGAATTCTATGAGGACAAATTTCCTTTCAAATCGAGGAATAGTGGAGGCACTCAATCGAGTCACATTCTTGTGAAAAGAAGCACAGAAAGCAACGACAATCTAGAAACAAAACTTCGAAGAAGTAAAAGAGTAAGAGTTTCTAAAGACTATGGGTACAATCATGTGGATTATAATGTAGAAGAATATCCAATAAATCTTCAATAAGCCTTGACATCTCTGGATGCAGATTTATGGCAAGAAGCTATTAATGATGAGATAGAATCTATAGAATCTAACAGGACCTGACACTTAGTAGATTTTCCTCGTGGTTGTAAACCAATCAATTGTAAATGGGTTTTGAAAAAGAAACTAAAACCTGATGAAACTATTGATAAATATAACGCCTGTCTTGTAGCTAAGGGTTTTAGATAAAGAGAAAATATAGATTTCTTCGATACCTTCTCTCCAGTCACTAGAATTGCATCCATTAGGATACTTATTTCAATAAATGCTATTTGTAATTTAATAATACATCAAATGGATATTAAAGCATCTTTTTTAAATGGTGACTTAAAAGAAGATATCTATATGGAACAACTAGAAGGGTTTGTGATCCCTGGACTAGAAAACAAGGTCCTAATAAATGGCATGAAAATTTTGATAACTTAACGATATTGAATGGGTACAAAGTGAATGAAAGTGACAAATGCGTTTATTACAAATATGAGAATCATATTTTCACTATCATATGTCTCTATGTAGACGATCTACTCATAATTAGGTCAAACATTCATACCATTAAGATGTGAAATCATTGTTGTGCAACAACTTTGACATGAACGACCTCAGAGAAGCAAGTGTGATCCTTGGTATCAAAATCACAAGATCCAAACAAAGAATTTCTTTTGATCAATCACAATATATGGAGAAGATCTTAAAGAAATATAAATACTTTGATTGTAAACCTCCATGCACACCATATGATCCAAGTGTAAAATCATTTAAGAACACTGGTGAAAGTGCCAGACAAACAGAATATGTGAGCATCATTGGCAATCTTAGGTATGCCACTGGTTTTACTAGACCCGACATTGCATATGTCATAGGATTGTTGTGCATGTTTATGAGTAGACCGCGTAACGAGCATTGGAATCTATTGAACGTGTCATGCGGTACCTTAAAAGGACTATGAATCTCGTTTTACATTATAAGAGATTTCCTATTGTACTGGAAGGATACAATGATGCAAATTGGAATACATTATCAGATGATTCCAAAGAAACTAGTGACTATATATTCAATATAGCTGAATGAGTTGTATCTTGGAAATTAAAGAAGAAGACTATCTTGGCTCAGTCCACGATGTATTTTGAGATGATAGCATTAGTGGTTTCCAGTGCAGAGGCAAGTTGGAAAAGATGCTTACTAGTTGAGATCCCTTTGTGGGAAACACTTATGCTAGTTGTGTTGATCCACTATGATAGTACCACGACTATTGAAAATATTGAGAACCGTTATTATAATGGTAAAAGATATAAAATTAGAAGAAAGCACAACATTGTTAGAGATTGTATCTATAAATGGGTTATAAGAATGGATCATGTACGCACTTATGAAAATTTAGCAGATCCTTTGACGAAATGGTTAACTAGAGAAAAAGTCCAAAATACATCAAAGAAGATGAGACTAATGCCTATATAGAAATGAGTTGCTCGTGATTTTAACCCGACCTAAATGACTGGATATCCCAATAAGTATGTTCAGTAGGTAATAATAAGTTGTGAGTAATATGAGATGATCATACAAGTACAAATAGGTAAAGCATGAATCCTGAAGTAATAAGAGGATGAGATAATAGAAGCTCTTAATGAGATTTATACTCTGTATGAGGGAGTACCTAGGATACAAGAGTACTCTTGATAGACTTACCTTTGTGATTGGGTTAGTTCCTATGAAATTGCAAGGCAGAATTTGTAGAGCCTTCACAAAACTGGGATACACGTGCAGGACCATTAAAGAACGTGTAAGACAATAGTGTCACTCTTGTTGAATAGGAATCCTATTTGCTATGCAAATGTTCAAGTCGTAGACACCTTTGCTTATGCACAATCTTATAAAAGTTTAAAGTTACTTCTAAAATCACCTTTTAAATTCAAGTGGGGGATTGTTGGATATCTTGGAATGATGAAAACTTGAGTGAGAATTGTAATGATTTATTGAGTTTAAATGGATAATAAATGAGCACAAATAAGAACTAATATGGAAGTGAATATGAAAGGATTCATTTTAGTCCCAGATAGGAGGGACCATAAATATTAATAGTGTATATATGTTCTAACTTGACTAAATGAGTTGGGTCTTAAGGGGTACCTAAGTTTGTATAGGAGTGATGACACACCACCAAGCCATCTAGACACACACGCATGTGTCATTGTCGTAGTCCATTTGTATAGTCGGCTCAGCTCGGTCCGAACCGGTCTAGGTGGATTAATTTTTTAGAATCTGAACTGATGAAATTTAATTAATTACGAATTAATTAATTTTATCAATGGAAATTAAATATTTATTAATTGATTTCGTGGAAATTAATTTTTATTAATTAATTAACATTTGTGACATATCACTCATCAAAACCTAGTCTTAACCTAATTTTGACTGAGTTTGACTTGCTCTCTAAGAATGAGTCAACGTCTGACTTACTGACCAATAAAAAATGGCCAGTAATGGGCCTGAAATCTTCAACTCTCTCCCATGATTTCGCTCCACTCAGTTGAATCCCTTGTCTATAAATAGAGTTCCTCAGTTCATTTGCAAATCACTCCATATTATTGAACCTTTCAGAATATCTTCAAATCTCTTTCCTATAAATAGAGTTCCTCAGTTCATTTGCAAATCACTCTAGATTTTTGAACCTTTCAGAATATCTTCAACTCCCTCCCATGATTTTCGCTCCACTCAGTTGAATCCCTTGCCTATAAATAAAGCACAAGAAATATGTTCAATAGGTAATAACAAGTTGTGAGTAATATGAGATGATCATGCAAGTACAAATAGGTAAAGCATGAATCCTGAAGTAATAAGAGGATGAGATGATAGAAGCTCTTAATGAGATCTATACTCTGTATGAGAGAGTATCTAGGCTGCAAGAGTACTCTTGATAGACTTACCTTTGTGAATGTGGAACTTGGGTTAGTTTCTATGAAATTGCGAGGCAGAATTCGTAGAGCCTTCACTAAACTGGGATACACGTGCAGGGCCATTAAAGCACGTGCAAGACAATAATGTCACTCTTGTTGAATATGAATCCTACTTGCTATGCAAATGTTCAAGTCGTAGACACCTTTGCTTATGCACAATCTTATAAACGTTTGACGTTACTTCTAAAATCACCTTTTAAATTTAAGTGGGAGATTATTGGATATCTTGGAATGATGAAAACTTGATTGAGAATTGTAATGATCTATTGACTTTAAATGAATAATAAATGAGCACAAGTAAGAACTAATATGGAAGTGAATATGAAATGATTCATTTTAGTCCCACATAGGAGAGAGCACAAATATTAATAGTGTATATATATTTTAACTTGGCTAAATGAGTTGGGTCTTAAGGGGTATCTAATTTTGTAAAAGAGTGAGGAAACACCATCAAGCCATCTAGACACACACGCACGCGTCATTGCCGCAGTCCGTCTGTATAGCCGACTCAGCTCGGTCCGAACCAGTCTAGATGAATTAATTTTTTAGAATCTGAATTGATGAAATTTAATTAATTATGAATTAATTAATTTTATCAATGGAAATTAAATATTTATTAATTGATTTCGTAATTAATTATTATTAATTAATTAACATTTGTGACATATCACTCATCAAAACCTAGTCTTAACCTAATTTTGACTGAGTTTGGCTTGCCCTCTAAGAACGAGCCAGAGTCTGACTTACTGACCAATAAAAAATGGCCAGTAATGGGCCTGAAATCTTCAACTCCCTCCCATGATTTTCGCTCCACTCAATTGAATCCCTTACCTATAAATAGAGTCCCTCAGTTCATTTACAAATCACTCCAGATTTTTGAATCTTTCATAATATCTCTTCTCCCTCTCATTCTCTTCATCTCAAATTATTTTTGTGTTGTACTTTTTGAGTGGCTTATCACGCCATCAACGACTACTGAATTATTTTCAGATACTACGGCTGGTTTAAATATCATCTGAAGGTGTATTTCTTTGAAAGATTCATTACCGTGCCAGTGATAATCGTACTTTTGAACGGACTGTTTTATCTTGAAGACATCGTCAAAACTCGACTGCATTACATAATTATTAGTAGTACGCAGAAACGTCTTAAAGAAAGCGACATAGTACGTCCTAATAATTTTCTTTGTGGCAATCTTTCAAAACAGAAAACACCATTCATGATTTGAAACATAAATGGAATATGTGAATGTTTATATATAGAATTCATAATTTGGCAGTCTATGAATAGATGTAGAAATATGAATGGAATATGTGAATGCTTATATATAGAATTCATAATTTTGTAGTCTATGAATAGATGTAAATGCTGGAAATTATTTGAGAATTCATAACTATATAGTGTAGGAATAAATGTAAATGCTTGAAATCATTTGTGAATATCTATTTTTAATGTTTAACTTTGATTTTAGATCTGCTAAACATGTAATTTTGTAAATTAGAAACTATAAATTAAATGCATAAATAAATAAAAACATTTATTCCAAAAAAAAAATGTAGCAACAAAGCCAATATTATTGTCCTTTATTTTTAGTCAACCAATATTCATCTTCCCAAATTTCTACCTGTCTTGTTGAATTAACTTTTCTCTCTAAAACTTCATGTAGTGTCATAGAATCATATGGAGGAGGAATAGTGCATGGATTTAAATCACTAGGAGACATAACCATTGACTCCTCCATGAACTTTCTTTGTATACCATTTACATCACATGCCATTGTTTCTGAACAAAATTCCACAGCTCCTTGAGGTATAGTTGGTTTGAACCTCAAAAGCTTTGCATATTCATTAAGAAGATGAAACGTGTAATCATATACATTGTTCATGTGTAAGTCCTCTTGTATGAATTTGCTAGCAGCCTGTCCTATTGCTTGTGCCTGGTAGGTAAGTTGTAGGAGATATAAAATATTTGATGTAATGCAACATAAAATTCTAATAGCATATACTTAACACAATGAAAGAAATACCTTATCATAATGGATGTTGCCCCATTCTACAGCAAACTTAAGAGATGTGCATTTAGTATTGTCTCTAATTGGCCAATAGTGTTGTAATGGAACCATACCTCTTATGAAAAAATCATGGTAATTGGCTTTTACATATAGTGTCATGGAATCACATGCTAAGATGTATTTCTCACTTACAGACCAACCAATTCCTTCTATGTATATCTTGTACCTATGGGTGCATTGGTTTCCTATGTTGGATTCTTTGAAGCCTTCATTGGTTTCTTTTATCCAATCCTGTGACACAAATATACAATGAATCAATCTTCATTTTACATGAATTATATTGCAAGGAAAATTTCACACAAAATTAATTAAGAAAAATACTTGTATGTATAGGTGAGCTTTCCAATCATTTTCTGATGTAACATTGCAAGTTAGAAGATTCTTCCTAGTTGGAGCAACATTAGGGTTTCCCTTCCAATAAGCATAAGGTACTCTATCCTTCCACTTGATCCTTTTGTTCCCTTCTTCTATATCTTTCAAGAGTCCATTCCATGGCTTTATATTTACCTCAGGCCTATTTTGAATAAATAACATCAACAAGAGAAATTTTTATTAGCCCGATACAAAAATATAACAAAGAAGGAAGTGATGTTTATTTAGCATTTACCATCCCCAGAAGGACCAATCAGGAAAAACGATATCCAAGTTCGATTGATCCGAACAATATCCAAACAAAGGTGGTGTTGAAGCATTTGGATCTTGAAACTTTTCCAAACTAATAAGAGGCCTATCTCCACAATTGAACATTAGTTCCAAATCAGGTATCTTCCCAGGATACAATCTTAATAATTGCAAAATACCCCACATAGTGAAAACATCTCTTGTTTGAAATGAGTCCTTATACTTCTCCACATACATCTTTCCATCCACAATCACAATCTTAAAATATGTTTCACTTCTTGCTCCTTCCAGCATCTCTCTTGTGATCCCTTTATCTTTCCATGGCTTTAGATCTTCATGGATCCATCTAAAGTATGAGGGACAAACTTGTCTACTTTGATTTGTTGGGTTATGTGTTGTAGGAAAGTAGTCTCTTGGACATGCTTGTGTCTCAGTTTTGTTCCTTTTGGTGCATCTTAGTGGATATTCTTGTTTTTGGTTTTTGTTTGTTTGGATGGATGAAAGGTTTTGATTTGAAATGGAATAACCTGAAATTATGTACTTCAAAAATGATTTCAATATTAGTGTTAGTGTTTGATAAATAATAGAAGAAAAATATATGATAATGCATAAAAACTCACATTATTGGAGGCTGCAAAATAACAAATAGTAGCTATTAAGCAAAAGAGAGCAACCACAGAGGTGGTAACTGCTGCAACTTTTGCTTCCCTGGAGAACAAACTCTTCTTCTGACTACTAGAATTTCTCCTGAAGAGTTTCAGATATGTTTCATTGTCTTTGTTCATCTTTGAGTTCAATCAAACTTCATTAACTATTGTTTGTTTTGTTACTATCTTATGAGAAACTAACTATATAAGAAAAAGGGGGTTGAAAGAGAAAGGAGCTATGAATGTAAAATGATTATGGTCCCTCTATTGGTGTTAGCTTAAACTCCACCAAGTTTAGGTGAGTGAATCTATCATATAGATGTGATTTACTCAAATTTATTTAGGCTCTTTCTGGTAAACTAACACTTAAGCTATCTTATTAAATTTATAATATTCTATAAAATTAGATTGGATTGATTTATAAATATGAAATGACATAAAAATATTTTAATTATTATATAACTTTTTCACTTAAGATAATAAGGGGAAAATTGAGTAAAAATTTTAAGTTTTAAATTACTTAAATTAATTCATTAAAATAGACTATAACTTATAATAAAAATAAATTATATATTTGTAAGAAAATATTATTTATCTAATTTATTTGTCTTTAAATAATGAGTGATTATGATTAAGATTGATACTACTGTTTATTGAAATATTAGAATATTCAACTTTTTTACTAAGAATATAAAGTTTTATAATTTGACTGAGCGTTTTATTTGACTGGATTTAACGAAGACTAAATCACCTCTCTCTCTCTCTCTATTCTATAGGTTGGGAGCTAAATAGATTTTTAAATAGGTTTTAACTTTAGATGTTAAGAGTTTTATATGAGACAAAATAACATGAAACTTGTGTTTATAAAGAGGATAGTTCTCATCTTATAAGTTTATTTTTGTAAAATTGAGAAGACTAAATCAATGTTTAGGACGGAGGAGATTAATGCACATAAATGTCTATACAATAGTATTTTGAATTATTGAATTTATTTTATTTGCACTATTAAATTATTTGATGTTAAATTTATTTATTTTTGCACCTTAATTAGTGATGTTACTTCATTGGTTAAGGGGTTTTATTTTAGTTTGTTGATCGATCGAGTTAAAGAAGTGTTGTAGAAAGCGTGTTACATTTCCTCTCGATTAAAATATTAATTAGGGGAAAATTTTATTATTATGGGTTCAATCCCCAACAATTAAATTTTTGTATTTTCAAAGCGTGTTCGACATAATAAAAATAACATAATTTTCATAATATAAAACTGTGCATGGATAAAGTGAAGTTAGTGAGTTACGTACTAAATATGTGATGAAGAAGATAAACAATGATGGAGAAAATTTCGTTGATGTTCGGTTATCTTTCCTTCGTTTCAAGTTACGCTTGAGCTTCAATGGCATTATGGTGTTGAAGGGAGGAAGCACATATTGATGTTCAAAAACTTACATGTGTGAGAATGGATAATGTTTTGAAAACAATTATGGAATATGAGTTGAGATGATAAGCCGTTTATATCTTGAGGATAAAGATGAATATCGCCTAGGGTATATTCTTTTAAAATACCTTTCGATTTTGTAGGTGAATGAAGATGAATAAGAGTTGAAAAATAAATGAATAGTTGGAGACTATAGTTCTGAGAAATACATGCAAATATATTTCATATCGATTGGTTAATCCATTTGATGAAATATATTAATTTAAAATAAATAAACAGAAAAAAAATCATTTTTTGAATAGAGAACTAATATTACACTACGCCAAAAGACCTAAGAAAGCGCTTTTTTGCCCTTTAGCAGCGCTTAAAAGCGCTGCCTATGGTGGCGCTGCCGTAGGTATAGACAACGCTTTTTTTTTTACGCAAAAACGCTGCCATATGTATTCTTTAGCAGCGCTTTTCCTTGGAAAAGCGCTTTCTAAGGTAGGCCTCTAGCAGGGCTTTTTCCTGAAAAAACGCTTTCTATTGACCCCTTTAGACAGTGCTTTCAAAAGCGTTGTCTAATGTATTTTTTAAGGCCTCTTTAGGCAGCACTTTTCTAGGAAAGGCGCTTTCTAAAGTAGGCGTTTAGCAGCGCTTTTTCCTAAAAAAACACTTTCGTTGCTTCACGTAAATTTAAGTATTTTTTATGTAAAAACGTTGTGTATTCTTTTTTTTTTAGAAGGCATATTTTTTGGAATAATCTTATAAACCTGTACTTCAAGTCTTACATTTCAACGACCCTTTATTTCAACAAAGAAGCTGTTACATACAAAAAAAAAGCATTATATACCATTATAATACCATTATATACCATTATATACCAAAATATAAACACCATTATAATTCAATTCACATGTTTGCTACTAAGTAGGAGGAGGATGCACTATAATAAGGACAAATTTATGACTATTTCGAACAACAAACTCCAAGAATTTCGTATAAATGTGATAATACTCAAGTACAACAAAACCTTCTATTCGAATCCGCTTATATATGAATAGAACAACATGGTCAATTAAACTAACTTGGGTCCAACACAATTAAAAAATTTCATAACACTTTTCAACTTCCAATATCTTATATGATTCTTTTCTGAATAAAGTATTCACACAATTCCTCATTGATTTCTTCCAATTGATTTTTTGTGTAATGAGCACACTTGCATTCATCAAAGTACTACATAACAAAACATAATATGTATGATTTAGTTAAAAGTGATAAATTATATGAAATATCCGATAAATATTAAAATAAATCCGAAGTTATAAATCCATACCGTGATTGGAATCTCTATTCGATTCAAAAGAATAATTTCTTTCATAAACCTCAAAACAAAGTATCCGCAATCTATACTGTTACACTGTTGAGCACACTACATAGAAAAACAAATAAGAATGTATAGTTGTCTTGTTTTATCAAGTGGCATCACTATTATAAGAAAATTTGTGAAAATTAATGTACCTCCACTTTGATCTATGTAATGTTGCTTGATCTAGACCGTGATACTCGAGCTTCTCTTTGAGAGCGGAATACTTGTATTGATCTAACAAAATAAAAACATATATTTAGAACAATCTCACAAAAATAATTAAATATAGAAATACACATGAATATTTAAAACAATCTCACTTACATATCAATCATTAACTTCATATCTGGATAATTTGTCCATTTACCATCTACCGAATTCAGATAATACACCACTTCTTTGAAAAGAACAATAGCAACCAACAACCAGTGATGTCTATAAATTAAAATAAAAGTTTAGATGAAAATCTTCAACATAAAAGATACAAAGATTAGAATAAACTTAGAATGAAGTACTAACCCCACATGAATCGTATTATGCGGTAAAAGATACAAGCTTTCTGTACTGCTGGCCATGAATCTCCCAACTAAGTGATTTCTTACTGAATCTGGATCCTAAACAATTGACGCTCCGTTGACACGGGAAGCAGACACAAAATGGAATCTGTTTGACAATTGATTCCCACACATCAATGTTTCATACAAGAACCTTAAATAAAACATAATAAACATTAGACTATTTTCATTGAAATGTGTAAATAAATTGTTCGACTAATTAAATAATAGATTGATCGCATTACTGGATGTATGAGTGTACAACACCGATGCCTAATTTTGTATGCTGAAAAATTTGTTCCATTTCCTCTTTTGCAATTGTTTCGAAGTAAGAAAAACCAAATATACCTTCCTCCATATCCATTTGACGAATAGCACCATTCATCAAATTTGATGTTCCCACAAGTGTTTCAATACACATCCGGAATCGAGGTACAAAAGGTTTTCTTGCCCCGGTTCTTGGAAGATCATTTTTCTTGTTAGGTACGCTACTAAATTTCTGGCTCACTTGTTGTGACCATTGAGCAGGTACCTAAAAATCATATAACTTAGGTAAATTATAAAATCATGCAGTTTTTGAATTCAGATCATATAATTAACACTTTAAATATACCTCTTTTTATGATGCAATAGACTCGTTGTGCCGCAAAATCTCTTTATCCTTAGATGCGGGTTTTGTAGGAGTCTTAAATTAACATGTAATAAAAATGTACGTAATGGTTCAGAATTGAAACTTGAATACTAAAAGATTCATAATGGTTTTCAACATACCTCATCATCTATGAAAATGAGGTCCGACGGTCATGCAACAAATGATCCTATTGCATCTCGTAGCAATATTGTGTCTGAAATAATGCTAGGTATCGGTAGCAACGCATTCAGATCTAATGCAACATCAACTGATACTTTCATATGTGCATCAGGGAGCGGTCTATGGTGAAGTAAATCTCCCAAAGTGTTATGCGCTTTTCCCTTGCCAACTAAGCGATAAGTCGGTGACGATAAGTATAGCTGACAAGATGAAATGCCCTAAACCAATAATAAATATGTTACTGTTAATGTGTATATATGTTAATTAAAACAAATGTGCTAGTTTAATTTCATAATAACATATATAATTACCTCGGGAAATTTATTTTGACAATTGATACTAGCTTTGTCACTAGTTTCTTTCGCCTCTGAACTGCACTTTTGTGCCATATATGTCTCTCTATCCTGTTGCGATTCACGGATTTGTGCCTTTAATTCCTCCAACATTTGCATCACTTCTTGATTGCTAGGATTTCTTTTCCTTGGATGCTTATACAAGGAAGATGGAGTCACAGCATGTCCTTTACCCCTCACCCGATCGGGATACTCAACAACATTTAGTGCACGACTAAGTACGCTTTTGTTATCCTGGTCCTCATCTGTGGTTACCGATTGAGATAGAGTCTCCTGAAATTCATTTACATATATATCGAAAATTATTAGTGGAGATAAAAAAATAAGTATATACTAATAAACTTTTGATTTACTTAAAGACACAATGTTATACTTACACATTCATCATAAATATGTTGAACATCTTCCTTAACAACTCCATGCTTGCCCACACGAGCTTCCTTCCATAAAACATGCGTCAGAAGTGATGTTTCATCACTTTTCGTCTCCTCTAACTACGCATTGACACAAATCATAAGATCATCAATTATAACACATTGAGACAATTAATAAGATTGTAGCATTTATATATACTTACAATTTTTTGTTGTAAACGTGCATATCCCAAACGCCCTTTTCTGTATGGATACGTGGG